CAGACTAGTGTGTGTTGATAATAAGATGTCCAAATGCGTCTTGTAACCAAACTTTAATGGGTACATTTAACAACAAATGCCAAAAAGCCATCATATGTTTTCGTCTGGATAGTTTTTCCCACAGTTGCATTGCTCTGGGATGGTATCCAGCTCAGTTGAAAAAGGCAAGGCAATAAAAAAAATACAAACGGAAATCTACAGTACACTTACTAAAAGTTCAATTTCAAGGAAATGCAAGTGAACATAAAGCTGTATCTTTGATGTAATACTGTTATAACCGAAAGTATTTAACTTCTTATACATTTAATTCTCTCTAAATCACTAAGGCTAAGACTAATCACTAAGGCTCTGACTGTGGAAAGTTAAGCATGCCATACTGTCTACTATCTCCATTGAAGCAAAGCATTTTGAAGCTGCTGGCAAACATGAGCAGTACATAAACAAAATTGTCTTTTTACTGTAGCAAGGAAACACAGCTAAAACATGCATGCCAAAACATTTCCCAAAGGTTTCTTCAAACACTTACAGTATGAGTAATGCATTCTAAATTAATTTGTTACACGAATCACTGTGTCTGTCACGAAGTAAACCTGGGCATGTGAATGTGGTTATAACACAAGCCACACATTACTGATTAAATAAGCCAATCACACAGGGCCACGGACCACCTTATATGTACTCCAGAAGCCTCCGTCATCTGTTTATGCTTACTGACACATAAGGCCTCCCAGGCCTTTCTATTTTTAATCATGCTGTGCAGCTTACCTCGACTAAAAATTTGACAAGTCATCAAATAAGTCATACTGGATCCAAATAAAATCTGATATCTCCCCCACAGCACATCTCATGACCATATTAAACATGCAGTAATTTAAGGTTGATGATGTTGTATTTCTATAAAAGCAAACCGGTAATTAAAGCCAGTAAACCAATATGTATGCATGAGTTCTTTCACTCGACCCAACTAACTCCACCATAATCCTCTTGGAATCCCCTTAATGTGGATGCCTAAGAAAATACATTTAGTGTATAATTTAGTGTGTTTTTAGTATATACATGTGTACACACACACACACACACACACACACACACACACACACACACACACACATATATATATATATATTAGAGATGATACGATACCACTTATTTATGTCCAATACCGATACAGATATCATAAATTTGGATATCTGCCAATATGAATCCTATATAGTCTATTTTATAATCAGTAAAACTGTTTTTTTAATCTCTTGCTGCATTTTGTATAACTTCATACAAAAGAAAAACAAAAACACTAAAGCTATTCTATTATACTGCACCCAAAATATTTTGCAGTTCAGCAATACTAATCTTTTTATTTAAACTTTTAGCAGAACTTTAAAACTGAGTATTTAAAGTAATCAAAAAGTAATTCAGAATGAAATTTTATGCAGATTTCAAAAACTCTTTGGGCCTGAAATATCAGCACAAAATAATGTTTCTATTCAACAAGTATGGGAAAAAAGTGTTTTCATATTTTTTTAAACCATGAAAGTGTTTGACCATGTTTTTCACAAAACTAAAACATCACTACTTTCATGTCTAATTCTCTGTAATGAAGGCGGAGTAAACTGGATCTGCACTCTGTGCCCAGTGAATGCTCACAAGGCAGGGAGAACAAATTTACTTACCTTGGCACAACAACTGGTTTCGCAGTATGTAGCAAGGTTCCAGATGCTTTCAGTGTGAACTTCAGACTGCCGACAGGTCCCGCA